TCTAATGTGCAGCCAAGGTTGAGAACCACTAGAGGATAAAGAGTTTTGTTACCCCTTCACTCACACTCATGGCCACCCAACGCACAGGCCTACCTACCCCGTGTCTGGGGCGTGCCTCCATGTCTGGGCTGCCCACCCTGCTGCTGGGCCCAGGGTCTTCTCCCACCCCGGCCCCGCCCAGCTCCCGCACTCTCGGCTTGGCAGGTGAGAAGATGTTCGAGATCGACAGCGGGAGGAACGCCCCCCTGCACTCGCCGCCCTCGGAGCACTACACCATCATCTTCAACACCTTCGTCATGATGCAGCTCTTCAACGAGATCAATGCCCGCAAGATCCACGGCGAGCGCAACGTCTTTGACGGCATCTTCCGGAACCCCATCTTCTGCACCATCGTGCTGGGCACCTTTGCCATTCAGGTAGCCAGGCCACCATTTAACCTGGGCCAGGGGGCAGTGGGCAGCTGGAGCCCCCTGCAGTGTCCTGAGAGCCCAGGCCTCCGACCTGGCCCCTGAGGCCCATCTCTCTGTCTGTCTCTGTCTCTGCTCCCTTTGACCTCCAGATAGTGATCGTGCAGTTTGGGGGGAAGCCATTCAGCTGCTCCCCGCTGCAGCTGGACCAGTGGATGTGGTGCATATTCATCGGGTTAGGAGAGCTCGTCTGGGGCCAGGTAAGTTCTGAGTGGGTTACAGAAGTGCCTCTTAGCGGGAGAAGGGAAAGAGCATTGGCCAGGAAATCCGGGAGCCCCAGGAATGGGTCCCAGTTCTGCCAGGGACTTGCTGTGTGGTCCCGGGACAAGGCCTTCCCTGCCACTGGGCATCTGAGCAATGGAAGTTGGCCCAGGACCCAAATGCTGGTCATTTGCGTATCATCGCTGTGATTTTTGCCATATATCTCTGATCATGTTTTTTACTTAATAGTTTCTTTTAATTATATCAGGCTTTTTTTCATTGAAATTTATTTCAAAAGACAACTTTATATTACTAACATGAGTGGGAAATCAATATCACTTGTCATAAATAGAAGCTAACAAAATAATAATGTAATGAGAACAATGGTATTAAACTCTAACTGGATGCCATGGCCCACGGAGGCTCAGGGCCTACAGGCGGCTAGCTGTTAAATGGTGTTACTGAGGGTGCTGATGGGAGATTAGTAGTTGGAGCCACACCTAAGAGAGGCTCCTTCAGAGGCTCCGAGAGAACATAAGGGCAACTCTACCACATGGCAGACCTACTCAGTGCTGTGCCTGTGGGCATCTGAGATCCTCCTGGCTTTGGGCACCCTGGGCTGGATGCTCTGGGGGGGCCTTTCATCTATGACCCCAGAACATCCTCCCGCCAGTTCCCATTCCTACTGTTGCCCATGTTCTTGGGACACACACACACACACATCACAGTGCTCACAGTGCTCACAATTTGCAGCTCAAGGCTCCTGACCAGGACGTGGTGTTTATGAGACGCGCCCGAGCTGGGCCAAAGGGGCTTTATCTCACCAAGGCGGGGGCGGGGGGGTGGGGGGCGCGGGCCCAATGGGCCTGAGACAGTGTTCTTGCCTCCAAGCTGTTCCCAGGCTGGAGTGGGACATGCCTGTGGCAGAGATTAACTAGAAGATAAAGAAGAAAGTTTAGTTTTACTCAAAAGAAACTTTTTTAAACATCAGGGCTTCTTTGGAGAGTTGATAAACTAGATTTGACTCAGCAACCCCATTCCCTGGGCACCCTCAGGGCCAGGCCATCTTTATTCCACTGGGGCCCACCCCTTAGAGAGCTCAGGGTGTCTGGGTGAGCAGACTCCTAATGCCTAAGGACGATGCCAGCAGGCAATGCCCACCTTAAACTCCCAGGGAACCCCTGAGGCTGTGTCCAGGTCAGCCCATCTATCCCTCCAGGGCAGAGGTCCTCAAACTTTTTAAACAGGGGGCCAGTTCACTGTCCCTCAGACATTCCACACATGGGCACTGCGGGCCTGGGACGAGTCGGCTGCTAAGCAGGACAGGCAGCGGCAGCAACAACACCCGGAGGGCCGGATAAATGTTTTCAGCGGGCCGCATGTGGCCCGCGGGCCGTAGTTTGAGGACCCCTGCTCCAGGGGCTACAAGGAGCCTCTGACCTCTGCCACCTCAGGTCCCCCCATAGGGCCTGCCTCTCAAGCCTCGTGGACAAATCCTTTGGAGAAAGAGGAAAAACGAAGGTTTACCCCTTCTCACGTTGCCTCCCCTTGTTAGGAAGGCAACCATTCCCAGAATCCCCAAATTGGCTCTACCCAGGGTATGCAGGCCCTGAGCCCCTCTTGCTCAGGTTGGGTACCCAGGACCCAGTGGCCTCAGGAGGAGGGAGCCCAGGAGCCTGAGGGCCTGCCAGGCTCGTGCATGGCATCTTAGACCCACCATCTCGCTTAACCCTCCAGCCCTGAGAATCGCCTTCGGCTTTACAGGTGGGAAAACCAGAGCTCAGAGAGGTTAAAGGACTTGCCCAAGGTCACATGACCAGTAAGGTCTGGTGTATTCAAAGTCACATCTGCCCAACTCCTAGAAGCCAGGATTTTTCACTATGCCCCCCTGACTCTGGATGAGTGAATGAATTAAAAAGCAAATTAATAGGAGATTTAAAGATTGAATTGGGATGAGTTAATTAGTTGAACCTGCAACGGTAATTGGGTCAGAGAAGCGGGAGATTGGGAGAGCAAGAGGGGGTGGCAGGGAGGGAAGGAGGCTGACTGAGGGACAGCCCCATTGCCCTGACCTTGCCACATCCCCTGCAGGTCATCGCCACCATCCCCACCAGCAGGCTCAAGTTCCTCAAGGAGGCGGGCAGGCTCACGCAGAAGGAGGAGATCCCGGAGGAGGAGCTCAACGAGGACGTGGAGGAGATAGACCACGCCGAGCGAGAGCTGAGGCGGGGCCAGATCCTATGGTTCCGAGGCCTGAATCGGATCCAAACCCAGGTACAGGAGGCTCCCAGGGCTGGGCCCACGCCTGGCTGGGCAGGCAGGTGATGGAGTGAAGTGCTCCATCCACCTCCCAGGGCCCCAGAGGTCAGGGTCCTGCTCTTACCACCTCACCAGCTTTTTGTACACCCACATTCCTCGCACGCACTCTCGAGGGGCTGCTGAAGAAACAGTGGCCTCCTCAGGAACGTTCCACATCAAGGGATCAGACTAGGGTGTCTCGGGTTACCTCTGAGCAGGGGAGGGGTTGACCCAAGAGCTGAGGGGACTGAGGGACTCTAGTCAGGGCTGCTGGGGGGACTGGGATCAGAGCTGCAGGGCAGCTACCAGGAGGGACAGCCCAAGGCTGGAGACTGGTCCCCTGGAGGCCAAGATGGCAGCTTCAGGCCAGGGTTGGCCCCAAATTGCCCCCAGGGCCAGGGGCCTGTGAGCTCCAGGGCTTATGCACATTCGCACATCCTCGTACTCCATAGTGGGTTTCCGAGTTCTCAGGCAGCTCTGGGGAGCAAATCTTGGTTTTCCCTCACAGACACACACATGCACGCCAAAGACACCTGCAGAGCACACGTGTTTCTTCCCCAGCACAGAGACTGCATGGCTGCCACATGCCAGGTGCTACAGTGTGCAGCCCTCCCCACACACGCCGCAGCCTCTCACAGGAGCCAGCCCCTCTGCCTGGGTTGGGGTGATAGTTCACATCATGGTTTCACAGCCTGTGTAACTAAGAGAGGGTCGGTCTCTTACCCAGACCACCTGGGAGAGCTGCTGCATCTGGCAAGTTCATAGCCCCCACCCCATCCCACTCTGGGAAGTATTGCAGAGCCCCTACCTGCATCCTGCCTGGTGGCCTAGCACTTCATTTAATAAACATAACATCCATAGTGCACTGTCCCAAACATCTCACTGGCCTTCACAGCCCCCTGAGAGGTAGGTAGGCCTCCTCCAGTTTTAGAGGGGACTGCGGTTCAGGAGGCAGCACTTTCTGAGAGCTGGGGTGGGGGACAGAGGCAGGTTTCAGACCCAGAGCCACCTGATGGATACAGCCTGGCTCCTCCCAGCAAGAACCCGGCACCCGGCCTGCCAGGGCCGCTCTCAGCACACATGGCCCTGGTGCTGTTACCAACCCACCCAGGGCCTCTCAGAGGTCTCCAGGCTGCAGGACACCGGGACTGTAGTTCCTTGAATGGACACAGTGCCTGTCCAGCTGGGCTCTTAAGGAACGCTAACACGAGCCAAGGGCTTTGCCACTCAGAGAATACCCTGCCAGGTAGGTGGCATTGCCCCTTCAAAAGGATAAGAAACTACACTCAGAGAGGTGACTTGCCCAAAGTCACCGAGCTCGTAAATGGCATAACTGAGATTTGGGCCAAAGTCTGTCCACCCAGGGCCCCCACCATACCCCTCAGGCTCCACCCCTGGCCCCAAGTGGCACTAAGCACCCCTCTTGCTTCCAAACACCATGTTTAATCACCCCCAGCCCAGCTCACTGGCCCCTGAGCCCCTGGAGCAGAGCAAAGGCCGGGCCCTGGGGTCTTCCCTGGGACCCTGGGCCTGCAGATGGGCCGGAACCGAGCAGACATCTTTCAGAGCCTTGGAGTGTGTCTGGTACTTTTTGTTTTGATTTCAGTGACGTCGTCATTGTTGCCGTGGCTGCGGCTGTTCTCGTGGCATTGCGCCTGTCAGTCGTGTAGCTGTTGTGTTCGTTCTTCTCGCAACTTGTCTCGTTCTCTCCTCCATTGCAGATTGAAGTAGTCAATACATTCAAGAGCGGGGCCTCCTTCCAGGGGGCCCTGCGGAGACAGTCCTCCGTCACCAGCCAGAGCCAGGACGTAGCCAATCTCTCTAGCCCTAGTCACGTGTCGTTGTCCAATGCTCTTTCCTCTCCGACCAGCCTTCCTCCTGCTGCAGCTGGGCGTGAGTGTGAATCCTTACCGCCTCGGGCACCACCGACGCTAGCGCCGGGCGGGCAGGCGGGCAGGGGCCGGGGCACCAAGGATATGGGGGGCAGCCAGTCATGGTGAGGCCCAGGGGCTGAGGGCTTCAGTTGGTCAGAAGACCATAGCCAGTGATGGGGGGCAGTCTCTTGGTGGGCCAGAGTCAGCTGGGGTCAGAGTCAGGGGTTACAACCAGTCAGTCAAGGGGTCGTGAGGGTCACAAGTGGTCAAAAAGTCTGGATCAGTCAAAGGATCATCATCGGCCAGGAAGGTTTTGGTAATTAAATGTCCCACTGCACCACAAGGTCGCAGCAGCCAACGAGGAGCAGTCAGCCAGGGGACACAAGGTGTCCCCATCAGTCTAGGTTCGTATCATTGACAAAAAGCCTGGCTCACAAGGACAAGCGTGAGAGTTGGCCAGGAAATCACAGTCTCCAGTCAGTCAGGCAAAGGGTTACCGTGGGTCAAGGCCCTCAGGGGTCACAGTCAGTCACAGTGGGGTCCAGCCAAGGGAGCAGTCACTGTAGGTCAGAGGTCATAGTCCGTCTGGGGTCCCAGGAGATCCCAGCCCAGTGGTTTGGAATCCTCTGCCCTCTCTCCTTGCACACCTAAAGCATCAGCCGCCTTATACCACTTTCCCTGCATGCTCAAGATCTGATGCCTTCCTAGAAGGGACAAGGCCCCTCACCCATTCAGCTTGACCTCAAGTAGAAAACAGTGGGCCAAGCTTCAGGTCTCGAGTGGTGCTGGAGGCCCTGAGGGATCTGGTCTAGCCCTCGGCTTCCTGCCTTCCTTACCTGAGAGACAGCCTGGGGCTCTGACCCCCTCCATCACCTCCCTCCTGCCAAGCTCGTCACCTCTCACCATCACTTTTTACCTGGGTCTCTCATCTCTGGCCTTGTCTAGATCTTTCTGAACCCCTATGTCCTCAGGTCCCAGAGCAAATAAGAAGTCTCAGTTTACCACCTTCCTCCCTTTCCTTGTCTCCAAACTGCAAGGGAGCCCTGTTCTGGTCTTCTCAGATGGCCACGATGGTTCCCTTAGACCAGTGGTCAGCAAACTGTGGCTCGAGAGCCACATGCAGCTCTTTGGCCCCTTGAGCATGGCCACGAAGTTTCAATCGCACTGTACATGCGCACCTGCACATGGTATTTTGTGGAAGAGCCACATTCAAGGGGCCGCAGTTTGCCAACCACTGCCTTAGCCAGCCCTTGGGCTTCTTCGAGGAGCATAGACTCCAGACCGCATCTTTTAATACTTTATGAGGTGCCTCTACCCCCATCCAAACACAGAGCACCCATAACACACATCCCCAGCCACTGCACAGGAGAGCACCTGTGTGCTCGGTGGGAACCACGCCATCTGAGCCCTCTGGCAGGGGGCATGAGCCACAGAGAGCCTGTTAATGGCATATGCTCATGTCCCATGACCTTTCAGTGGATGCAGTCCTGCCAGGTATGCATGATGACAGGAAGGATGCAGAAACGGTGGAAAAGCTCCTCCTTGTTCATTCATTCACTAGCACAGACCACAATAATGAGGAGGCCAGACTAGCCAAGGTGAAGTGCAGACCTATTTGAGCAGATGGTGTCCAGAGTCACATTCCCATGAGGTATCACTAGGGAATCACTGCCAGGCTTTCTCAGGGCAGGAAACCAGAGCCAGTGATGAGGTCCCATCCTCTCCCCTTCGCATTAGAGAGCCCTCCCCTTGGTGAGAGGCCCTCACCCAGCTGACCTACTTCTGCACCAGCTTAGCTCTGACCTTGCTCCGTGACCGGAAGTGTTCTGGCCTAGAGAGCCACTTGAGGAAGACTCCATTTCTTTGGCTTCTGCCACCCTCCCCGTGACACCTGCATCCCTCTAGCTGGGTCTGACCGCCAGAAGCCTAGCTTCTTAGTGCACACTTAGTTCTTTGTCCCATCTTGGTCCAGCCTCCTTCTTGACGTGTGGCACTTTGCACTGGCCACAAGAGAGCCTCTCTGGCATTCCTGCCTCGCAGTCTTTGAAAGTCTTCCCTTGGTCTATCCCCCTCCTCCTAGCTTTCACAGTCTAAAAGAAAGAGCTCAGTCATCTCAAACCTTAGCAATTGGATTCTCATCTTTTCTTCTGTCATTTATAAAGCCATTCAATAAGGCTGGTCTTGGGACAGTCAGTTCTTAGCAATTCTCCTTCAGAGACATGCCCTTTTCTGCCCACCCTCCACTTACTTCCTATCTCTAAGCCAATTTTCTTCCAGGCCAGATTGATCCCCTTTATCCCAGGGTGACTCCAACTTTGGAACAGCCTTTGAAAAGGAGCCTGTGCCATAGCCAGTTTGGCTCAGCGATTAGAGCTTCGGCCTGCGGACCAAAGGGTCCCAGGTTCAATTCTGATCAAGGGTACGTACCTTAGTTGCAGGCTCTTCCCCACCCAGACCCTGGTCCGGGCTCCTGCAGGAGGCAACCAATCGATGTGTTTCTCTCACATCAATGTTTCTCTCTGTCTTTCCCTCTCTCTCCCACTCTCTCTAAAAAAAAAAGGAGCCTTTAAGCCTTGACCCTTCATTCTCTCAGAGACTTCAAAGGGGCTCCGTCCCCCAGCCACCACCTTGCCTCTGCCCCAGGAATCATGCCTCCTTAAGAATCTTGTATTCCTACCCTCTATTGTAGAATCCAGCCTGTAATTCTGGGTCCATTCTTGGACCCTTTCTTGGACATATGGTCTCAAAAAGAGCCTGCCTGTCCCCCTACCCAAGGGTACTGGTTCCAAAGGATTGCAACCTCTGTGGCTTCAGTGCACACACTTTGGTCAACACCGTCACAATGCAAACTCTAAATAATTATCCCCTAGTTCCTCTTTTTGCTGAAATAGTTTCTATAACAATGTCACATCCTTTGGTCTCCAAGGTCTCTGAGGGCCCCCTAGACACCAGGCAAGGTCCCTTCAGAAGCCAAAGGCTTTCTTCCCATGGGGAGGGGTGCAGCAGGTGGCCAGGAGTAGGATTGGGTGAGATGAATCAGTGGCTGCTTCCCGCCTCCTCTCAGCAGGGTCTTCTTCCTGGGGGTTCTCCAGCAGCGGAGGGTGACCATACATTCTGAGGGTGTATGCTGCATGGAAAACGCTGGGGTCTGTGTGCTCTGACAGGAGCCAAACCACTGTGCCCTGGGTTATCAAGAGTTGGCTACACAGGCCAGGGGCAGGGCACTCTAGACTTGGACTGACTTCTGACTCATGACATCGGGGTGAGGAACCTGCTCCCCCCACGACACACATCCCTCCCCCAGCACCACTGTGAGATGGAGGGCCCCAGGCAGACAAATGCATGTGGTGCCAGGACAGTCCCATCCGACTGGCATCTGGAATGTTCAGGAAGGAACTCTGGCCTACTCGCTTGCTTTCTTCTCCTGACTTACTCACAAGCGAGTTTGCTTTTACCCCCAGAAACTTAATAACACTCCCTCCTGACTTATCCTTGAGCCTCACTCAACATCTTCCCAAGCAGTTGCCTACATCCTTTACTTCACATATGCCTCCAACTGAAATAGGACGAGGGAGGATCTGCTAATACATCCACTTACCTGAAAAAGACACTGAGGCTCAGAGAAGTGGACTGACTTGCCCAAGATCACATAGCAAGTGAGTGGCAAGAGGTCAGAGTGCAAAGTCCCTCCTTTCTCCTACCACCCCATAGCACTTCCCAGACAAGCCCACAGACCTGAACCCACAGAGGTTGGATTTCCTTTCTGGAACCGGTACCCACACCCATAGCCTCATCCAGCAAAAAGAGCGAATCCTCGGGGTCCAGAGTCCAGGGGAGTTGTTTCTCTGCTTGGCCCTCCCCAGCCTGGCAGGGACGGGAGAAGGGTGCCTTCCCACTGGTGATCAAGGACAAACCAGCATCCAGCTCTTCCATCCAAGACCAAGTTCCATGACCCCTCTGCCTCATTCCCCTCAAATCCCTAACCCATCTCGAGCCACCTTTGTACGCAGCACGTTTGTAGCAGGCTCCGTGTTCATCAGTGAAAGTCCTGCTTCTTCAAACCAGCCAGGCCACGAACCTCAGACGCCTACCCCAACCAGCCACTCTCTCTGGACGCTGCCCCTGCTAGACAGGGCCACCCCCCACCCCCCACCCCCCACCCCGCCAGACTCCGGGTTCTGAGGACTTCGAGGGCAAGGAATGTGCATCTCTTAGGGGGAGGGATGTAGGAAAGGAAAGGAAGCTGGACCTCGCATTAGCATGTTGGTAACTAGTTTAGTGCAGTCTTGGGTTGATGAGAAAAATGGCTTGCTTCTGGGACGGGGGGACCCTAGACCTCTCTGCTTTCTGAATATTCCATGTGTTTGTTTCCCTAGAGGGCTAGAGAACCCTGGACACAGAGTTCAGCAAGAGAGAGTGAAATTAAAAGAGGTTGTGAGTCTTTAACCTTGAGCCTGAAATGAATGTGAATCAGTCCCAGACTCTTGGCTTCCTTGAAGCCGGGTAAACATTCGAGTATGTCGAACCATCCCAGACCAGGGCCTCTGCATTTCCTCAGAGCCCTCCTGCTCCCTTTGTGCTGATGAAACCAAAATGCCTGAAACCTCTCCCCTCCCCCACGCCCCATGCGGCTCATACCACAAAACCCCATCTTCAGGGTAGGCAGGAAGGGGAGATGGAAGAGCTTTTTTTTCTTCCCATATTTTTTTCCATTTCAGCCGCGGAGAGAACCGAAGTGGAGACTTGAGATGGCCATGGCGGGGTGTCCCAAAAAGTCTTGTCCCCACAGTCTTGTCCAGAGCAGTTCATTCTTTTTGTTGTCTCCATGCCAGGGGGAGGGCGAGGGGCCTGCATCTCATTGTGTGTTGTCCCCTCTGCGTTGTCAGTCACATGACAGGGTCCTGCAACCATCCCTCCTCCTCCACCAGGCGCTCCGGCTGGAATCTTATTACAGTTCAGAGCCTCAGAACATTCTGGGCACTAGGCTGGGCAGCTACTATGATAATTAGTATTCCCATTTTACAGATCAGAAAACTGAGGCCTGCCACACCTTTTTTGTTGTTTGCACTTAATCAAGGGTGTAATGGCCCACTAATCAGGACATCAGAATATTAATAATCTCTACAGAGCCACAAATATGGAGTCCAGGGAGAAAGAAATCTCAGGGCAGCCAGATAGCCATCGCTGAGCACCAGCACTAATGCACCACGTCTGGCTGGCTCTCACTCGGCACCTGAGGCCTCCTATTTAAAGCAGTGGACAGGGTTCCCTGGAGTCCCCAGTCAACAGCATATAGAATATATCCGGATCGACAGAGATGCTTTTGAGAAGACAAGGAAAAATCAGAACTAGTGAGTGATGGCTGACATCAAAGAAGAACTTTTTAAAAATATATACTTTTATTGATTTCAGAGAGGAAAGGAGAAGGGGAGAGAGATCGAAACATCAATAATGAGAGCAAATCATTGGTTGGCTGCCTCCTGCACACCCCACACTGGGAATCCAGCCCACAACCTGGACATGTGCCCTGACCGGGAATTGAACCATAACCTCCTGGTTCATAGGCTGACACTCAACCACTAAGCCACGCCGGCCGGGCAAAGAACTTTTTTTTTCTTTTCTTATTTTGTTTCTTTCTTCTTTCATTTCTAGAACTTAAAAAAAAACACTGTAGGATCTTACACAAGACCAAAAGATTCTTGGCAAAGTCCACTTCTTCTCTGTGTACCCTAAATTAAACGGCAGAGGAGCATATGATGTGCTTTAGAAAGACTCCCCTATGAAATAGCAAAATAAACCCTGAGCTGTGACACTTGAAACCATCAGCCACAGTCATCAAGAGAACTCATTTCCATGGACAGGCTTTCCCCACCTTGCCCACCACCGAGCTGGCCCTGGGTTTACTCGTCCTGTCCTCTGCCCCCGACAGGCCTTTGGTGTGGGAGCAGCTGCTGCTCTGCAGGGAAGGCTATGCAGGGTGCCCTCAGGACCACAGCCACTTCGGCTGAGGCTCTGCTCCTTGGAGGCACTGCTGCTGCCCCCACTGCACTCCCCTTGCTGCTGCTCCACTGTGAGGCGGGCTGGGAAAAGAGAGGGAAGAACTTTGTCCCAAGTCCCCTCAGTTCCTTGAGCTAACACTCATGGCTCCCCCTCCTAGGTGTCCAGAGGAGGGACCCTCTCTTCTAAGTGAGGGTCCTGTTCTCTGCACCCTGCGAGGACAGAGGATGGCCAGGGAGGGAGTATGGCTCGCCCACTGTCAAGCACCAGAAGTGGCAGAGCTAGGACTCAGACTCCAGGTCCAGTGCTCTTCCCACTAGCCCGGCGGATGCAAGGCCCCACCTCCTTCCATTCTTCAGAGAACCACAGGTTCCAACTGAGACACAGAAAACGAAAGAACTTGCTATTTTGAGTTCAGTTCCACACCCCCTTAGAGCCCCACCAGGCGGGGCTTGACCATCTGATTCTGGCCTCATTTTTTGGTTTTGTGTTTTCAAAGCACAAATAAAAAAAATCAAATACCCCAGGAAATAAGGGACCTCAAAGCCAACTACAATGGCTGGCCAGGGCTTTGAGTCAATACTCGAGTGTTTACCTCCCAAATGCATGAAGGAAAGAAACGTTGGGTACAAACGACCTCCGTTCACATTGTCCAGGCTTCCAAGTGTAGCGTGTGTCTGTCTGCGTGTGCCGTGTGGTTCCTGACCCCCCACCGTGGCATGCTCCCCTCCCGAATGTCGCCCGTCCGCCGGCTCCTTCGTGCTTTCTGGCTGCCTCTGCTCTGCACCCCAGAAAGCCCTGGGTTGGCTTTGGTTTGCTTTGCTGCCTTTGTTTTGACGTTCCTGTTCTCTGTTTGGCCCTCGTGTGACTTCTCTCATCCCGGTTTATCCATCTGTCTCTCCTTTCTGTTCCTTTCTGTTTGTGACATGTTATCTGTTCCATGTGGTATGGTTTCTTAACTGCGTGTGGGGGTTTTTTTAAGATTACTTTTTTAAAAAAAATAGCTTCTCCTCCTTCCTATTCTGTTCCCACCTGGCCCCGTCACCCTTCTGCATGGTCGAACCTGCTTTAAAGTTAACAAGGCTCAGTCTCTCCCTAGGTCTGGGTGCCCGCCAGAGTGGCCCATGCTTCCTCTGACCAGTTTCCCATCATCTCTTTGATGGGGCTTGATTTCTCCTATCCTAATATTGTCGTTTTGACCAAAACCAAAGCAATGCTAAAAACCTCATGGATGCATATAACCTGAGCCCCTCTTCCAATCTTCCCTCTCCTGTCCATGCTCATAACACTCCGAGACTATGGATTCCACCCACTTTCTATGCCCTAACCCCTCTCCCACCTGCCCCTCCTCCAAGCCCCCCAGAGCACACACACACACACACACACCAGGGCACTGCTTCTCACCCCTACACTTCCCTTGCAGATCCGCGTCGTGAAGGCGTTCCGTAGCTCTCTCTATGAAGGTCTAGAAAAGCCTGAGTCTCGAACCTCCATCCATAATTTCATGGCTCATCCTGAATTCCGGATCGAAGATTCACAGCCCCACATCCCCCTCATCGATGACACCGACCTGGAAGAAGATGCCGCGCTCAAGCAGAACTCGAGCCCGCCGTCATCGCTCAACAAGAACAACAGCGCCATCGACAGCGGGATCAACCTGACGACCGACACAAGCAAATCAGCTACCTCTTCAAGTCCAGGGAGCCCCATCCACAGCCTGGAGACGTCGCTTTAGCTGAGGACCCCACCGCCACCCACCTCCCGGGCACCCACCCATCCAGACACCCAACTCACTCAAGCAGCAACGAGCAACAACAGGAAACCAAATACTGGCGAGAAAACCAACGTTTCCACCCAACAGACCCTTTTTCTGGCTGTGATGCTGTTTGAACTCTTTCTCACTTTGAGGCAAGGGGCAGGGTCTCCTCCTGGGCTTAAGGGAGTGAGCGATTTTCCCAGAACAAGCCCTTCCTGGCTCCTGCCCACTCATGGACCAGCCATGCGCCCGCCCAGCCGCCATGTCCCCTGCATGAATGTACTGTACACTTCCAGTCCTCCGCTTGTTTGGTTTTGGGGGGCTGGGGAGGGTTTTTGTTTGTTTTCTTAGGCGGGAACTGCAAACAGACTATTTTCTGAGACTATTTATCCAATCCACTGGTCTGTGAATTTTTGAAATGCTTGCAAAGCATGGTCTCAGTTGTATAGGTTAATTTAACAACTTTTTGACATTGCAGAGCTTAACTCGCCTAGTAGATTTGCACCAATGGAACCGAAGAACTTCATAGACACTCACAAGGTTATATCCATTTATTTATATCTATATCAACGTATACTTACTCAAGACTGTATACGTCCATATAGATAGGTAGATATATATATATATATATATAAATATATATACATGGATATATAAAGTTTCTTTGCCGGCATGTTGCCTTGTTTCTGCTTAAATTGCTCTATTTTAACTTATTTATGTTCTAAAAGAAGAATGTAATTTGTTTACAAACCTGTAGATAATGTCTTTGGCTATTTGTATGGTTTAAGAACACTGGTGGCTGAGATGCTATAAAAACAGCTCAGCTCAACAGATACTTCCCTGGGTTGCATCCTTGATGTTTTACGATAGCCATGCTCTGATTTTTGCCTGCTATTTCCGTTCAATAATGTCACTACCACAGGAGGCTCAGGCAGAAGCCAAAAGTTACCAAGTGTCCATCCTGAGGGCTTTAACACCATGCTCCGTAGACAAAGGGAGAGGAGAGAGAAGGCTTCGTGGGCTTGGAGTGCTAAGGGTCATCCCCGCCCAAGGATGACGGGAGCAAAGCATTTTGTTGAAGACTTTTCTCTCAATGAAACTCGCTTGGGTTTACAAAGAGCATTTCGCAAAGGGGTTCTCTTTGGCACTGTCTGCTTAGAGATTGAGGTAGTGTTGCAATATTATAAATGCTATTGTGTTGATTTTTTTTTAGTTAGTAATTTAGAGGTTTATTCCCTTATTAATTGCAGCATTTAAGCTGTTGGTGTATTGGATGAGGATCATTATGGCTTGCTGCTTTTATTTTTATTTTTGAAGAAGAATAGCCTTTTTCTCTGCACTATTTAGATCCGAACAAACCTTATGATGTGTATATTGAGATGTATTCAGTGTGATTTTTAAACCAAACTGTCTTCCTATAGTCGCAATATATACTGTAGCCTTTTAACAGCAAGTCGCTTTCCCGACAGAAAGCCATTCTGAAACCCTACAGTATCACAGGTGAGAAGGGGAGGTGATTTTTCCCTCAAGACAATTACAGCACTAGTAACCCCACGTAATAAGAGCTCAATTAATTGTATGTCAGCCTCCTAACTGCTAAGCACTTTGTGGGTATCAGCTTTTTTCATAAAAGAACTTTTGTATTTAATACAAAGTTTGCTTTGAGACTTTTCAGCATACGATCTTTTTCCATAAACTTGTACAGTGCAAAAGACATTTTGAATACCATGATCGATGACGTCCCATGCTTCAAGGAAAACCAAACACGTCCCGCCTCGCTTGTGAAATTCATTCCTCATAAGGACCCTTCCCACAGTTGCTCTGCATCACCCCGGCCCCTTCCCTTCTCCAGGCCCAGAGAATTCTTCCACGCACAAGATGAGAGCCACGCGGGAAAAGAGCCATAGTCAGCTGGGAGGGCCCACATCTGGAGAAACCTGAGGGTTTGGGACCCGCATCAGCCCATCCCACCTGGCAAAATCTTCCTGGAAGGAGGACCTTCTTCGAGCACGAGCATCGCCTGAATGTCGAGAAGGAATATCTCTGAACGTACCCAGCAGAGGAAACTGCATCCCCAAAGGGGTGACCAGCCCTCAGATAGACTTACTGGATTCCAATACCAACACCACCAAAAGCCAGCCCACTGCTCTCCTGCCTACCGAGAGAGGAAAGACCTGCACACGGAGAATGTTGGGCAGCCTTGGAACGTGGGGATTTTGTAGTTTCCTTTCTCAAGGTTTTCCATCTCCCCCCTTCTTGGTTCCAATCCTGTGCCCCTGACCTCATTCCACAGCCCTGGGAAAGCTGCGCTTGCACACCACGCTCCCTATTTATTTGGGGCCGGGACGCAAGGCAAACAGGAGGGGTTTCTGAGTGGATCATAGCTGGGGGAACAGGGAGCCACACGGGAGCTACCGAAAATGCCCCGCTTTAGGGTTGGTCTTTTCTTGTCAGGAATGATGGATGCTCACGCACACGCACACACGCACACACCCTCCCTCTGACGCTTGCACACACATCCACACACACAGGAAATGATTGGGTTTGTCAAAACTCACTGTAGTACATAAAGCTTGCACTCTGTGTCCTATATCTAGCAGCATGGGGTACGTTTGGCAGTTCACCCCATTAGGGGGTAAATAATTTATGACCATTCATCTGTTTTTATGAATTTTTTTATCTAGACAATAATTGTAAATAAAGAACTCACCGTCTCTGTTCATTTAATACTATGCAATGCTTTCAATTGCTGACTCTTCTTACTCCCGCACTGTGGTTCTGAAATGTCTGTGGTTTAAAAAAAAAAAGGCATAAAAAAAAACATCAAACAGAATATAGTAAATATATATCCTGTAACTAATACTTCTTTCTATAACTGCACCGTCCACTTAGCTTCCTTTCTGTCCTCCGGACAAGGGCTCCAGGAGGAGACTCAGTTCTAGGTCTAAGCTCACCAAGTTGTCTCTCCCCACAGCTGAGGGAGGAGCAGAGGGCCCATCCAATGACCCCTGGGGCTGTAGAGTCCCCCGCCTTTGGAGGCAGGCAGGGCGGAAACCGAGGGGTTTCCTTCCCGCAATTTGGGCAGCCCTTTCCCTGACTCAGAAGCAGCCTTGACTGGCCTCTTCACCATGGCCCCTGGGCCCCTTGTCCCAACCAGAGCATAGAGTTGGCAAGAGGGAGGTTGTCCTACTTCTGAGACCAGACCAATGGCAGTGACTGCAATGATGCCAGGACTCTGGACCTGTCTTATCCTGGGTATCCCAGTCAGTGAACAGCCCCTCTTTTCCCCAACCATGTTGAAATGTCACCTTTATGATACTGCTATCTGCTGATAGCAGAGATAGATGTGGGTCTATTTCTGGAATTTACCTTCTATTCCCTTTCTGGGTGTCTCATCTGGCACCAGCCACATAATTTTAATTATTGTTGCTTTATATAATGTGTTATTATATGGTAGGATATAATGTTTTATCATGTGGTAGGATAAGTACTCTTCACTCTTAACAAAATTTCCTGATTATTCTCTCACATCTGTTCTTCCCAGTAAACTAAAATTTTGCAAGTCCTCCACCCACCTCAAATACTGGGCCCTGTCATTCTGTGTGTAAACATCTTCCTGCCATTGTAAGTACTGTCCACTCGGGGTCCCTAAATGGAGTGCTCTGTGAGGAGAAACAGAAGGGGCATCCTGAATCTTGAGGGAAGCCCGACATTCATTTCATACTCCCACTTGCTCCCTCGGCCAGGGTGTCATTAGGAGAGGCCACCAACGCCCCCCCCCCCCCAATCCCAGTTTGGGACCCAAAGTCACCTACTTGATTGTCTAATTCTCCTCCTGGAGAAATGTTTATTCCTGCCTCCCTTTCCTGAACTGCTCTTTTGCTCTTTATTCAAAGTTTCCAGTGGTTGTTTGATACGTCCTTTGGGATGCAGCAATTTCTTGTCTGGACCTTCTCACCACCCTGACTCCCCCTACTGTTGTTCTACTTACAGGAGGCTGTCAGCTGGGCTCACTGTGACATGCCTCCCATCCAAAACTCTCTCCATAGTGTCCAAGACCCCACCATTAGAAGATCTGGGCGGGGCGGGGGGTGGGAGGTGCATTTCTTGAAGGCTTTTGGGTCTTCCAGAGCCAAGACCTAAATTAGACAACAGCAGAAATCCCTAGGTCCTTCCCAAGTTCCAAACCAAGCTCTCCTGGTTTTGATGTAGAGATCCTATTTGCCCAAGTGGGGAGAGGGGGATCCTAGGCCCTGGGTATCAGCCATCACCCTTCTGCTGAAAATAAGATATCTGAGGCTGCCCTTCTCAGCCCCCTAAGTCTGTTTTGTAATGCCTGTGGTGCTTCCCCTCCGAACCTTTCCTCTCGGGGGTCACCACACTTTGCTAACTCTTGTGTGCACATATTTTATAACAGAGTAGCGAGGAAATGGTGCCGCCTCCAGCTTCCACAAGCTGCCCAGGCTCTGGGGGGGTTCTGGGACAATCGGGGCTGGGAAGTGACTGTGCTCTTATTGTACACTCTTTATTTCTCTGTATCTCTGGCTTGTGCTTTTTGTAATTAATGGGATTTGTCTGCCTTTTCAACACTATACTGAGCAATAACAATAAATGCACACGTGGAAACACAGACACCGTACACATCACAAGGCCTTTTTCCAAAGGACAACTGGGTCCCCACCCTCGTGGATCGGAACTCAGGGGGAAACTGAGTCCCTGGGAGGGAAAGGCACTTTGCCCCAGGGTATACAGCTCAGTGGGTGGTCTCTCTCCTTCCAGCAAGTCACACCTTTCCAACATCCACCATTTGAGGGATACAAGTTCAGCCTGCCAGGAGTCATTAACCTTCCATGGGGAGCAGCTGACAGTCTCATACAGCAAGACTTGGGTGAAGAGGCCTAAGGAAGGAGGAGGAGGAGGAAGAGATTCAGGGAGCAGAGACTCTGGGAGGTAGGGGCACAAATTGGGAAAGCTCAGAATGGCCTGATTTTGGGTCTGGTATTAACCAGAGCAAGGTGATTGAAGATATGGACAAAAGATGTAGGTGGCATCCCCTACTGGGGAGGTTAACAGAAGGGGGCCTGGCACCCTAATCCCCAATGTTGGTCCAAAGGTGGAGGGTTGCACATACACACATCACACACATGCACTAAATCCCAGCTCTTTTCAGGGAGAATTGATCCCCAGATCAAGCACCACAGGCCCATCCAACTTCCAAACAGTTTCACATCCAGGATCCATTTAATCCCAATATCAACTTTCAGAGGAGGTATTATTGTAATACCCACTTAACAGAGGAGGAAACAGCAGCTCAGAGAAGTAGAGGGTGTGCCCACCAAGTAATTAGGAGATAGAGTACTGATACAGAGCAGTTTTTATGCCAGAATTGGCACTCAAAACCTCTCTGTTATAATGCCTTTCAGTCCCACCAGCAAATACCTTAATGAGTAAGATAGTTGCATTGCTTGTCCCAAATCCCCAATCTCTCCAACTTCAACGCCCACACCAAGGAATTCTTCTTTTTTTTTTAATATATTTTATTGATTTTTTTACAGAGAGGAAGGGAGGGGGATAGAGAGTTAGAAACATCGATGAGAGAGAAACATCGATCAGCTGCCTCCTACACGCCCCCCAGTGGGGATGTGCCCGCAACCAAGGTACATGCCCTTGACCGGAATCGAACCTGGGACCCTTGAGTCCGCAGGCCGACGCTCTATCCACTGAGCCAAACCGGTTCAGCAAGGAATTCTTCTAATAACAACTATGCCCCTATATTTGTATTATACCTAATATGCTATTGTTCCCATTTTCCACTCAAAGAAAAGTGAGGCTCAGAGAGAAGGATATGACTTAATTTTTTAAATATATTTCTATTGATTTCAGAGAGGAAGTGAAAGGGAGAGAGAGAGAGATAGAAACATGAATGATGAGAAACATTGACTGGCTGCCTCCTGCACACCCCCTACTGGGGATCAAGCCTGCAACTCAAGTATATATCCTGACTGGGAATCAAACCATGACCTCCTGGTTCATAGGTCGATGCTCAACCACTGAGCCACGTAGGCCAGGCAAGGAGATGACTTTATCACCCAGATGGTCAGTGATGCAAATACAGATCCAAGGCCAGGGAGGGCCTATCCCTTGAAAAACAGGAAACCCAAGAGCCCTGCCCCCTTTATTCCCTGCTCCACTCTAAGCACTACCCCCTCACACCCCTGCAATATGTCTTCATTAGAGGGAAATAAGGAGTCTTGAAAGCTGAGGTGGAGGTAAGAAGGTGGGTTGCTGCCCAGAGGCCCAGCCCTGGATTTTGTAAGACCCACTCCCCTCTGCTTCTCCAAAGCTCCTTAATGGTCTGGATCTATCACACTTTCTGAGACTTAACATCTTCCCTCCAGTAGTGACCATCTCCAGCCAGGGTCTCCCCCCCCTCCCCACAACTCCCCTTTATAGAAGAGGGAACTGAGGAACTGTGACTTACCCAAGGGGAGCCCAGGCTCCACCCAAGTCACTACACTCCTTGTCAAGAGGGGCCCAGGGCTGCCAGACCTGAGGGGAGCCCCAGGCTCTATCCAGAGTGCAGCGTTCTCACTGTGCTTGTGGGAAGCCAGGGACCTCCGGATTGGGAACACTAGGGGGTGGATCCTGAGCTCTAGCTGCTGAAGCTTGGCTGAGAGTCCTCTTTGCCTGGGGAAATCTACCTGATGGGCCAGACTCCCCAGGTCCCAGAACTGTGCGAAGAGGCAGTTTAGGGATCCCATGGCTTGGAAAAGGCAGGGCAGAGGGCTCAGCCTCTAGTAGGGGGCATTCCCCCAGCCTTCTCGGCTCCTGGTCCCAGCCTTGGGTCCTGAGAAGGGACTAACAACAAGGAAGCACTAGGACCAGTCTACCCACTCCCCCCAAAATTGATCATCCTTCAGTGTTCATCATAAGGCCCGTCGCACCCAGAATCCCAGGTAAACAGGTGAAGCTGTAGTTAGGAACCCTTTCTATCACGTAAGGATCTGGAGGGGCTGGGGGGTGGGGGGGGGCAGGGTTGGCCAGGAGAGAAGACCGGCTAGCTTCAGTACCTAAAGCCTTGGAAACGAGAGGCCCACTGTGGGTCTCGCGCGCCCCTCACGGAGAGAGGAGGGCCCAGAGGAGGGCGCGGCGCTGCAGCCCGGAACCTTTGTGCGAGCAGAGCGCGTTGCTACCCGGAGGCTCCTGCGCTACAGTCCGGCCGGCCAGCCCGGCGCCGGAAGTGAGGTGTCGGAGGCGCCGCCGGGAGCTGCCACGTCCGAGGCCGGGAGCCACCGCCGCTGCAGCCATGGTGAGTGTTGCGGCCCGGAACGCCGAGCGGGGTCCCCGCCTGGTCTGACCGTCCCCCGCCGACCGCGCTGAGGTTCAAGCTCCAGGCCCGGGCCGTTCAGCTCCCTTCCACCGCGTAGAGGTTGGGGGGCCCCGGCCCTGCCTCTCGGCACCTTTCGCGGGGAGAGGCCCGGAACCTCCGGAACTCTGCCGGCCGCGCCTTTCGCTCCTTCCTTCCCTTCTCTTTCCCCAACAATGGAAAGCAAAACCAGGGACACCGTAGGAACCGCTGTACCATTAGTAAATGCCAAGCGTTGTTCGCAGTCTCAGCCCTCTCACAGCCCTTGCCGTAAAGTAGGCGCTGTTACCGACACTTGACGAGGACGCCGCTCCGAGCGGGAGGTGGCGGAGCCGAGGTCCCAACCCTCTTCACCTTCCTCAGCGGTGTGTGTGGGACGGGGCCGGGCCCCCAGGGATAATGGGCACTGGAAGAAACGTGTCAGGGTGGGCGAGGTGTCTGAGGGCAGGGCCTCGGTGTTTCAAGTCTGTGGAACCCACGGTGTAGGTTCTCTCCACGCTTCCTTGCTGAGGGAGTGGCTGGATGGGAACTGATGGATGAAAGCATCGGCCTGAGCCTGGCACCGAGTGGGGTTTCGGGAACCAGTGCTCCCAGGAACACGCGTGTGCCGGGAGTTTTAGGAAACCCGGGGACCCAGGTGCCAGACTTTGGGTTGAATGTTTGCTCGGCGCGGCGGCTCGGTTTACATCGCTCGTCCGGGCCTCTGATTCTTCCTCTGAGAATTGGCAACCCCTGTGCTCGACGGTCAGTTCTTTCTCATTGGATGTTTCACGCACTGATTCTGAAGAGCGGGTGTGTTTTGAGAGCTGCCGCTTTCTACTTACAACGGCCAGGACACTTCCGGTCCCCACAGCAGCGCTCGCCAGCCTTGGACCTCGGGGACCCCCGGCGGGCGGCCGCTGCTCCAAAGCACTTGGTTCTCCAATCCTGGCTGGTGGTGAGAGTCGTTAAAATAGATGCTGGTTAGCCCTGGCCAGTGTCGTCAGCTCGCACACCAAAGGGTTGTGGGTTCGATCCGGGTCAAGGCCAGGTACCAGGGTTGCAGGTGGGATCCTCAGCCCCAGTTGGGGTGCGTGCGGGAGGCAGTCTCTCTCTCTCTCTCTCTCTCTCTCTCTCTCTCTCTCTCTCTCCCCCCTCCTCTTCTCTCTCCCTCCTTTCTCCCTCCCTCCCTCTCTCACTCTCTCCCCCCTCCTCTTCTCTCTCCCTCCTCTCCCTCTCCCCCCCCTCCCGCCCTCTCTCTACCCGTTCCCTTCCACTCTCTCTAAAAAATCCATAGAAAAAAATATCCTTGGGTGAGGATTAACAAATAAGTGCTGGTTATCTCTAAGGTCCTTTGGTGACCTGATGTGAAGCTACTAGTAAACTTCCTTCCTGGCTTTACTTAGCCCTCAGCCATTAATTTAGGGAATTCAGGGTAACAGCTGCTTTATGTCCTAGGTAGGCAGCCTAATGGATTGGGATGCTTGTGGGCTGGGAGTTCGCAGGTGGAGCTCTTTGCCCAGCCCCACTTTTAACTAGCTCGGTCGCTTTAGTAAGTTCCTCTTCTCCTCTGGGTTTCTTCAGCTCCTTAGTCTGTCAGACAACTCTAATAGACTGCCTTTCATCCTTCCCAGGGCACATGTGAAAGCACTTAGGGACCTGGCTAGCTTGGCCCACAAAGGGGATTTCTTTTTGTCTTGCTTGTCTTTGCGGACCTGGGGGCCCACTCTTTAGGGAGTCCAGAATTTGAATTTGATGAGAGAGCCTGTGCTTACTTGGTGGTACCTTTTGAACTGCTCTGCAGCCATCCTCTTCCAGTGTCCGCCTTTCTGAAAAGTCGAGCTAGATTTTATGCTTGCAGGGTTTGTGCTGGAAAAAGAAGAAATGGGGGAAATGCTACGAAATATCAGTTCCGAACTGAAACCTTTTCAGTCCTTTTCTATCCCACGAGTTTTAAGAGAGTGGAGGTTGAGCAAAGTAAAACTGTTTGTTTTTGTTCATTTACTTATTCATTCAGCAACTAGTCACTGAGTTCCTTCTGGTTGCAAAGCACTTTGCTGGATGATTTGAGAGAATTCAAAACTGCAGACAACACAGACCCTAGCTCCAGGGAGCATGCCTTCTAGTTGGGAGAAGAAACAGCATAAAGGGTTGTAGTCATTTTAGTGCTGAAGATATTCAGAGGAGTACAGCCAGGGGGACCTGGGGATCTCCGAGAAGGGGGGCATAATTTGATCTGGACCTCGAAGAATGGGTGGAAGGGTGACGACTGTGGCAGCTGTGCTCCAGACCTACAAGCTGCTCATTACTCCCTGGGGTCTCTCTTCCCCCTCAGAGGTAGCCAGGACTATTTGCATCTCCCCTCTTCGCTCATGGTATGCCCTGTGCTTGGACTGTACTTTTATTTCCTGTGCCACCTGGCAAATTCCTTATCATCTAAGTCCCAGTTTGTGTCCAGCACCCCCAGCCCTTTGGGCTGCTATAGCACATGTAAACCACTTTTAAAGTCGTTATCTTGCTGTGTTAGGATTACTTGTGTGCAAGCTTGTCAGGGGCAAGAAGCACCTCTTATTTGTATCTGTATCTCCAGTTCCTGGCACAGTGCCTGGCAAAAAGAAGGTCCTGGATTGAATGAGTGAATGGATGCATGAACAAATGCAGTTAAGAACTTTAGAAATGATTGGTGGGTTTAATAAGATGATTGCATTCTAAATGCCATCAGTTCATTTACCAATGATATCTCTGGTTCTAGGTGTCAGTAATTAACACTGTGGACACCTCCCATGAGGACATGATTGTAAGTATTCTTTCAGCCCTCCCTCACGGGCTGTGGATCTGGGCATTTCTGTGGGAGGGAAGCATTCGTGATTCCAGTGTGGCTTTGCAGCCTTTGCCAGTCAGACTGTAGCTTCAGGGGTATAGTCAGTCTCCCAGCAATGCCCTCTCAGTTAGCAGGGCTGTGGCAGTCTGGTCACTCTGGTGGGAGGAAACTGGGACTGGTTTGTAACTCAAGGCCTTCAGTCTTCTGACCAACAAAGTAACTGGGTCTGGGATGCAGGCTGAGTAGGTACAGAGATTGACAACAGTCTTCCTACCTGTCTTTCTCCAGCTGTCACTTCTTAGCCCCATTGAAAAGGGGTTAAAAGAAAAGAGAGTAGGAAGATGACTCAATATGAAGGCAGGGGGCAGGCTTGGCAAAAGCCCAAGGCAGAGTCAGGTAGAACCACCGCAGACAGAGGTGCCAGACAAGGACCTTTGGACCAGAAGTCATTAACTCAGGGTGTTTCCTGAGGCAAACAGGGGCTCAGTATAAGACAACAGGGCTATGGGAGAAGGTTCAAAGATTAAAGTCTCCCACAGCAAAGATGCAGACTCTGCTTCATGAGGGTCAAGCAGTCCAGGCAGCCTTTGAGCAAGACCCAGGTCAGCTTACAGCATTTCCTCCCAGGGTCCCTGCCCACCAGTGGTTCCTTTGGGCCTTCTCAGAGTTGTCTATGTTCCCTGTGGTCTAGCTCTAAGATCTCACCTCCTTGGAGTTAGTGTGGCACCATCAGGAATAAGATCCAATCTGAGACTCCTTAGCCCATCTCGACTCTTCTGAGCCAGCCTTGATTTCCTCATAGTTAAAATGGGAAAAATATGAATGTGATACCTGCTTGTGTGGGTTCGATTTGAGGAACAGATAAGGCAAAATAGTAATGACTAATGTCTGCATGCTCACTAAGTGTCAGATCCCATGCTAAATACTTTCCATTCATTATCTCATTTAACCTTCATAACAACCCTTGAAGTAGCCCCATTTAAAGATAAGGAAACTGAGGTTCAAGGAGACTAGGTAATTTTTCCAAGGTTGTACACAGATAAGCTGAGGAGATAGGATTTAAATCTGTTAGGTACTGCGCCCTACTTCCTCCCAAAGTGCATAATAGCACTCTATAGGAGAAGTGCTTCAGAAGTACATTTACAGAGAAGATCTGTCTTAACACCTGTATTGACTTCCAAGAAGAATCGGGAAGTTTTCTGTAAGTAGGGAGGCGAGGAAAGAATGTTGAAGCACATGGACTGATTGCTTCTGTTGAAAGGGTATAGTTGTTCCTGATGACCACAAGAGTGACAGCTAGTAGTTCTTGAAATCCACAAGGTGGGATAGCTGAAGAAAGTGCCATTGGTTGGAATAGGAAGGGCCAGCAAACAGTGGGGCAGCAGGCGTAGTGACTCAGAGGAGTCACTGCCCCAGATGGGCAAGTAGCTGTGGGCAGAGGTTCTGGATAGCCAGTCAGCATCTCGGAAGTCCATTTATCAGTGGTCGGACGAGTGACATTTAAGATGTATGTGGACAGTCTGGGGTGCTAGGCACATTACTAGGAAAAAATAAAAAGGCCAAGCGGAAACCCAGGAACAAAGGTCCACAACGGATCCAGGGCCATGGATGGAGGAAGGAGCTGTGCTGAATAGAACCCTGTGTCTAGGCCAGATGTGCACCATGGAGTACCTGATTGGGGGCCACACTGATTCCATTTCTTCTCCTTTGGGTCAGCATTAGCCTTTGGTTCTGGGCTGAGCTGAACTCCAAGTGTTGTCCCCAGTAGCTCACAGAGCCTCAAAACATAATGGGGGCTGGGGAAGGAGGAGACTAGGCCAGCTTTTTTTCTCCCATACCCACCCTGCAGAACAGGATGAGAAAGGGCTCCCCATGTATATAAAGGGTCTACAAGTAGCTGGGCATAGTTTGTCTTGTCCTGTTAGGAAAGGTATTGCATGTCAGAGAAGTGAGATTGTTGACATGCTAGCTTCCTGCCTGATAGTGATGATTCTTTGAGGTTAGATTACTTTCAGGTAGAGTCTGGTCCAAACTAGATTCTCTGTCCTGGTAACTGGCCCCCACCCACCCAGCCTGCAGGCTTCCTGAGCTGTCCTCCCTTTGCAGCACGATGCCCAGATGGACTACTATGGCACCCGCCTGGCAACCTGCTCATCAGACAGGTCCGTCAAAATCTTTGATGTACGCAACGGAGGGCAGATCCTCATCGCAGACCTCAGGGGGTGAGTGCAGCCAGCCGTGGGCAAGGACTGACAATGATTGGGCTTTTCAGGGAGGGCAGGGAAGCCTGAGAGCCAGAGGAGAGCAGCCCCGCAGTGCAGTTAGAAGAGAGGACACTCGGGTCCCAGCCAGCCTGCTGCCCTCAGTAGGCATCCTGGGCTGATGGATCCAGGAGTGAATCCAGCTCTGCCACCCCTGTACCCACTAGAAGATCTTGGACAAGAGTCAGTTTATCTGGGAACCTTCACCCGCTCACCCTCAAAATGAGCTGATGCTGCCTGCTCCCAGACTCCCAGCAAGCCTTCAGTAGCTACTTTTGAATGTGGGAAACTTCCTTTTTTGCTTACCCAGCATGATCTAAGTGTCACTGAAAGGTGGTAATGTAAGAATGTAATGGTGAGTATATAAATCCCGTAATTCCGCCTGTTTGTCCACAGCAGATATTAGTTTATATTTACAAATGTTTACCCTTCCTCACCACTGAGATTCTTGAGATCCTGACTGTCATTTTTTTTAAAAAATATATTTTATTGATTTTTCACAGAGAGGAAGGGAGAGGGATAGAGAGTCAGAAACATCGATGAGAGAGAAACATCGATCAGCTGCCTCCTGCACACCTCCTACTGGGGATGTGCCCGCAACCAAGGTACATGCCCTTGACCGGAATTGAACCTGGGACCTTTCAGTCCCCAGGCCGACGCTCTATCCACTGAGCCAAACCAGTTAGGGTCTGGCTGTCATTTTTATGGCCACATCTCTGTTGCTTTCTCTCGGTTCACTGCCTTTCAGATAAATGGGGGTTTTTAACCTGGATCCCATGATCTCCAAGGGTTTCATGGATAGAATTCAGGGGTTGGTGAACTGGGGCAGGAAGAGAGCATCATCTTTATTTTCAGTGACTGATATTTAGCATTTCCTTCCATGAAGGATGTAGGCTGGAAATCACAGTAGTATTCATAGTACCTGTTACCAGTGGAAGTCAGATATTTTCCTATCACATTACAGTTGTAGCTATCTCAAAATAGTGGTTGCTAGACCTGCACACATGTCACTGTATCATATTTGTTCTTTAACGTTTTCATAACTGTATTTCAATATAATTGGGTTTCTTGTCTAATCCTAGCTCTATGTATTTGATCCATTGTTCTAAGAAGGGACCATAACCTTCACCAGACTGTAAGAGAATTTAAAAACCCCTGACAAGTAGGTGCTCAGTACATGCTAGTTATCTGAATTAAAGAAGACACAACTTAGGAGCCATTTGGGGAGACATTCCCTTCTTCCTGAGTGTCCAGAAAAAAGTGAGGAGGCAAGTGCCACTTTCTCTGTGCAGCAGCCCCTGGCTGAGCAGAGAGCTCCTGGGGTGATGCCTGGCTGCCAGCCTGATAGAGGGGGTCGCATCAGCTGCCACTCAGTCCTTTCTGCTGTTTTTCTTATGCTCAGAAGATGTGAAATATTGGAGGGTTAAATTCAGACCTCCAGTATTTTTTTGCCTTGGTTAAATCTTTGCTAGGTGTAGGATATTTGAACCTACTGAGAGTTTCGTTAGCAGCTCCTTTGTAAGGCCTGGGAATGTGCTATTGTTCCAGCCAGAGGGAGGGGGAGACTTTGAGTGCCTGCAGACTTGGGGTGAAGGAGTAAGCAGGGACAGCAGTAATAGTGACAGACATTGAGTGTGGGGCTTTTTTTTGTACAGAGCAAGCTTTTTATGTGAATTATCACAAATATTTCCCTCATGCCCAGCCTATGAAAGAGGTGTTGTTTATCCCTCCATTAAGAGACTAAGCCGTAGAGAAGATGGTCCTTGCCTAAAGTAAAGCAGCCGGTGAGTGGAGAGGGGGTGTGAGAGAACCTGGCCCTGTAAGCCACGCATGTCAAACTCAAAGGCTAACACGGGCCAAATAAGCAAGGTTTAAGTTGATGTGGGCCACAAAAAGACAAAAGCTTCAGTTTTCATAGAAACATAGGTTTATTTCGATAGAGACATGCTGAATACAAAGGGCTGAAATTAATGAGTAACTGTTAACATAAAATAATAGAAAATTTTAATAAAAATATTTTCTCTTGAACATTAACTTACCAGACACTGGATAACTGTACAGATTAATAAGTGTAACGCAAATAAGCCTATTTTTTTTGTTTTCCAAAAGCGAAATATTTCCTGTTACACCAAACAAGTCAGTACAAGACTAATGAGTGGCAATTGGCTGCTAGAATATTCACTGCTAATATGAGTGGAGAGAAATGGTGCACCTGCATGTAAAGCACATAAGGGAGATGAATGCCACACGATTATAGTAATCAGTCATTAGCGAACATTGTAGTTTGTTATTAATAATTGTGTATAACAGGAAATTGTTAAATTACTAAATTTTTATTAAAACGTTTCTTACATACGTTATATTGGCTGGGCCGCAGAAATATTCGCTGTGGGCCGCGAGTTTGACATGCTTGCTGTAAGCAGAGCTACCTCTCGTGTGCTGGGTGCCCACCTCTCCCTGAACCCAGAGATGGCCCCAGCACCAAGCCTGGCACAGGGTACATGCTCAGATGATACTTAACATGTGAACATACAAAGATCAGAAGATAAGAGAGAGACATACCTTTTGAGCAATTTTTTTAAAAGAGTAGCAGAAAATACCAAAACAAAACAGATACTGCTGCCTCAAGAAATTGACCATTTGGGAGGATAAATGATTCACTCTACAGATACTTAGTGCTTGTGGGTGCAAAACCTAGATTGATCAGTGACTCTGCTGATGACGGTAGGTGTTGGAGCAAGTGAGGGTTCTGCTGGGTTGGGACTGAGAGGCTAACTTGGAGTCCTGCCTCACTTTCAGTGCCTCTTTAGTCCTAGCCTGTTTGGCTCAGTGAATAGAACGTGGACCCATGGACTGAAGGGTCCCGGGTTCAATTCCGGTCAAGGGCACATACCTTGATTGCAGGCTCAGTCTCTGGCCCTGGTCAGGGAGTGTATGCAGAGGCAACCAATCGAAGTGTCTCTCTCACATTGATATTTCTCTCTGCGTCTCTCCCTCTCCTTTCCACTCTTTTTAAAAATCAATGGAAAAACATCCTCAGGTGAGGATTAACAACAACAACAAAAGCCTCTCCTGGGTCTCAAGGTCCTCACTGCTCAGTGAGGTCCCTTTTGGCAGTGACATTCCATGTCTCCCTTTGAAATTCGTAGGCAGTTCTGTCCTGAGACACACTCTGCCTGCCATTTAGTTCTGTCCACAGAAGGGGCTGGCAGAGCCCTGTGGGTTCCTTGGCCCATCTGAGCAGCCTCTGACCCTCTCCCCTTGCAGTCATGAGGGACCAGTGTGGCAAGTGGCCTGGGCCCACCCCATGTATGGCAATATCCTGGCATCCTGCTCCTATGACCGGAAAGTCATTATCTGGAAAGAGGAAAACGGCACCTGGGAGAAGACGCATGAGCACACAGGACACGACTCCTCAGGTACACTGAGCGTGGCAGGAGGAGGTGGGAGGGTGGTCCTTGGGTGTGAGAGAGGCCTCTGTTCTGGCTGGTGCTCGATTCTTTCCCTTGTGATGCTTCATGTTGATCCCTTGGGTTTGGGTTGGCTTTTTTGCTGGTCGTCCACATGGGAGATGGGCCCTAAGAAGACTAAAGCCAGTCCAGAGCAAAATGAGAAAAGCAAAGATAATACAGTTCTTGAAGGTTTATTCATTTTAAGTACTGGCCTTTATTCTCAGATAATTGTCCAGCCTACTTTTCGTTAATATAGGCATTAGTTTAGGAAATGATATTAGCAGGTGGTGGGTTTTAAATTTCTTCAATTGACAAAGTTACAATTTCCCTCTGGTGGTCCCTGCAATTGTTTTTAGAAATTTAGCACAATGGTAAATCTGGAAAAATCAAAGTTTGCTCACTGTGCCTCCCTCCTTCCTGCAGTAAATTCTGTGTGCTGGGCCCCCCATGACTACGGCCTAATCCTGGCCTGTGGGAGCTCAGATGGGGCCATCTCCCTGCTGACCTACACTGGGGAAGGCCAGTGGGACGTGAAGAAGATCAACAATGCTCACACTGTAAGTCTGGACCCTGCCTGCCTGCAGAGGGTAGCTCTGCTGACTGGCCATATGTCTCCTGTAGATCCCCTAGAGAGTGGGCCAGGGGAGGGGCTGCTGATCAGACATGCTTGGTAGAGCAGCTTTGACCTTCTTTGCTGTGAAGCCAGACAAAGACTGGGTTAGCACTGGTTCCTCCTCGCCAGCTCCTAAGTTGGAGAAGACCAGGGCACTGGCAAGGCAGCAGCAGCAGCAGCAGCCTGCCTCCCTGCCTCCTTTGCTATGCATGTCAAGTTGACATGCCTTGTGGTGGTCATTGGGACCCCCTGGAACTGAGTGGTGTTACAGAAGCATCATAGGAATTTAGTTTTCTGTACTTCTAGTCAATGGACATTAAGGTTGAAATGGTCAAGAAAACACTGTGGACATAGAGGGGGAGAGGGGGGACTCATATTTTCTTGAGCACCTACTGTGTGTCATGTAATTCATGAATGTTTGTGAACAAAAGAAGCTAACAAATATGCAAGGTATGCAGTCCTAGTCAGATTTTATGTTGAGGCAAGTGAGGCCCAGAAAAAGTAAGTGACTGAGAGAAGGCACTGCCAGAGTAAGAACTCTAGAATCTGCCTGCCTTCTCTCTACTCAGCAATTATGGCTTTGATGGTTCCAAACACTTCTGAAATCTACCCAGATGGAAGGAAACTGAAGTCAATTTCCCCCCATTCATGGATCCACAACCTGCCCAGCCCTCAAGACCCTAGGAACTTATCTCAGGGTCTTATTACTTGGGGACTTCTGATCCCCATCTGCTGACTAATTTGCAAAAATGAATAGGTTGAGGGGCTTCTGGCAAGATATTGGGGAGGGGCATCATAGTTTTTCAATCTTTCTACATCTCTACATAAAACCAGCAGAACAACTAGGTAGCAAAACCAAAATTTCATGAACAACACAACAAAACTGGGTAACAAGCTATTTCCACAAATTTAAATATTAGTGCAGAGGAATCCACCACCAGCAATCCCTGCATAATATTGGTATCTGAACAGGAGGAGAAAGAAAGCAATGGGGTGCCTTCTAAAATAGCTAACAAGTATTCACTGCAAAGCATAGCTGAAACTGGGAGAAGTTTTGTGGTTTTGTTTTTAACTTTTTAAAAAATTAATATCTAAATTCACATACCATTAACACCCCTTTTTTTGTTGCTGACACTATTACAGATGTTCCCCATTTCCCCCCGCTTTGCCCACCTCCACCACTGACCTTCACCACTTTGTTGTCTGTGTCCTTGAACTATGTATATGTGTTCTTTGGTTACTCTCTTCACCTTCTTTGATCCAGTCCCCTCACTTACCTCCCCTCTGAACTCTATGTCTCCAGGTCCATCCGTGCTGCCACAGAGAGTAAGAGAGTTCCTTTGTTTACAGCTGCTTAGTATTCCATTGTGTAAATGTACCACAGCTTTTTTATCCACTCACCTATTGATGGGCACTTCAGATCTTGTTTCCAGATCTGAAATGAGTGGATAAAAAAGCTGTGGTACATTTACACAATGGATATCCTTTCTGAATGGTGTTTATTGGAATCTATCTTAGGATATATTTCCAGAAGTGGGATCGATGGGTCAAACAGCAGTTCCATTCTTAATTTGATGAGGAAACTCCATACTGTTCTCCACAGTGGCTGCACCAGTCTGCATTCCCACCAGCAGTGCACCAGGGTTTGTTTTTCTCCGCGTCCTCACCAGCACTTGTTTGTTGATTTATTGATGGTAACCATTCTGGCAGGTGTGAGGTGATACTTCATTGTAGTTTTAATTTACATCTCTTGAGCATTTTTTTATATGTCTATTGGCCATGTAGTCCTTAGAGAAGTGTCTAGTCAGGACCTTTGCCAATTTTTTAATTGGATTGTTTGCTTCCTGGTGTTCAGTTATATAAATTCTTTGTGTATTTTGGAAATTAACCCCTTATCAGATGTATCATGGCGAATATGTTCTCCCATATAGTAGGTTCCCTTTTCATTTTGTTGGTTTCTTTTGCTGTGTAGAAACTTTTTAGTTTGATGTAGTCTCATTTGTTTATTTTCTTCCTTTGTTTCCCTTGCCCTAGGAGATATGTCAGTAAAATATGGCTATGCCAGATGTCTGAGACTTTATTGCTTATGTCTTCTAGGATTTTTTATGATTTCGTTACTTACATTTAAGCCTTTTATCCATTTTGAGTTTATTCTTGTGTATGGTGTAAGTTGGTGGTCTAGTTTCATTTTTTTTTAAATAAATTTTATTGTTCAGATTATTACAGTTGTTCCTCTTCCCACCCCCCATAGCTCCCCTCCACCCAGTTCCCACCCCACCCTCTGCCCTTACCCCCCCCCACTGTCCTCATCCATAGGTGTACGATTTTTGTCCAGTCTCTTCCCAAACCCCCCACACCCTTTTCCCCCCGAGAATTGTCAGTCCACTCCCTTTCTATGCCCCTGATTCTATTATATTCACCAGTTTACTCTGTTCATCAGATTTTTTATTCACTTGATTTTTAGATTCACTTGATAGATATGTATTTGTTGTTCATAATTTTTATCTTTACCTTTTTCTTCTTCTTCCTCTTCTTAAAGGATACCTTTCAGCATTTCATATAATACTGGTTTGGTGGTGATAAACTCCTTTAGCTTTTTCTTATCAATGAAGCTCTTTATCTGACCTTCAATTCTGAATGGTAGCTTTGCTGGATAAAATAATCTTGGTTGTAGGTTCTTGATATTCATCACTTTGAATATTTCTTGCCACTCCCTTCTGGCCTGCATAGTTTCTGTTGAGAAATCAACTGACAGTCGTATAGGTACTCCCTTGTAGGTAACTAACTGTTTTTCTCTTGCTGCTTTTAAGATTCTCTCTTTGTCTTTTGCCCTTGGCATTTTAATTATGATGTGTCTTGGTGTGGTCCTCTTTGGATTCCTTTTGTTTGGGGTTCTCTGCGCTTCCTGGACTTGGAAGTCTATTTCTTTCACCAGGTAGGGGAAGTTTTCTATCATGATTTCTTCAAATAGGTTTTCAATATCTTGCTCTCTCTCTTCTTCTGGCACCCCTATAATTTGGATGTTGGTACGCTTGAAGTTGTCCCAGAGGCTCCTTACACTATCTTGATATTTTTGGATTCTTTTTTCTTTTTGCTTTTCCGGTTGGGTATCTTTTGCTTCTTCGTATTTCAAATCTTTGACTTGATTCTTGGGATCCTCTTGTCTGCTGTTGGATCTCTGTATATTATTCTTTATTTCAGTCAGTGTATGCTTAATTTCTAGTTGGTCCTTTTTCATATCCTCGAGGGTCTCACTAAATTTATTGGGGGTTTCTAGAAAATTCTTGAAAAACCTTATAAGTGTGGTTTTGAACTCTATATCCAGTAGTTTGCTTTCCTCCATTTCTGTCATTTGTGATCTGTTTCTTTGTCTCCACATTTTTTATGCTTCCCTGTGTTGATAGAGTGGCTTTGTGTGCTAGGTGTCCTATAAGGCCCAGTGGCTCAGCCTCCCCAATGACCTGAGGTGGACACTCTTGGTGCACCCTTTTGTGGGCTGTGTGCACAGTCTTGTTGTAGTTAAGCCTTGATTGTTGTTGGTATCACTGGGAGGAATTGACCTCCAGGCCAATTGGCTGTGAGAATCAGCTATGTCTACAGTGGGAGAACTTCTGTGCTGAAGACACCCTTATGGGGCAAGACTTGCTTCAATGGGGCTTTGGTGTTCACTGAGTCTGCCCCCTGAGTGTGTCCCTTATGGATCTGAGGAGTTGTAATCTGGATGGTCCCACTCTGACCACTGGGTACGCAGGCTCTTGGATCTCTAAGGAGGTGCTAATTTAGCCTCTGTCTGAGGCTACCCAGCAGGAGCTATGGAGAGATCTGCAGATTCCTCTTCCTTGTTTGGGGTTTGGAGGTGCCCAGATCAGGCCCAGCTGTGAAGCAATGCAAGCTCCTGTGGGCCTTGAGCCTTCTTTTGGATGTTCTGGGTCTGTCTGGCCCAGCTGCAGTTTGTTAGGTAATTTTAGATCTCAAAGGGCCAGCCCATTCATATGCAAAAGCCTCTGCTGGCAGCTTGGGTGGGGCGGGGTCTCAGGGAATCAACAGAGTGGAGCAAACAACTATGGCTACTCCTCAGCCCTGCCCTAAGGGGCCCCTGGGTCTCAGTGTCCCGCGGTAATCGCTGCAAGTACCTCTGAGAGAAAGCCACCGAGTTCCGCCCGATGCCAGAGAGTCCAGTTTCTCCCCATATGAGTCTGGGTTCCCAGAGACTCGCCCAGAACTGGAGTTCAGAGCAGTCGGGAGCTTGTGACTCCCTCCCTATTGAAAAAGACACCGGAGTCCTTCGTTGCCAGCCCTTTCCGCACTCGAGCCTCCATACCTCTGCACTTTACTTCCGCAGCTCCTCTGAGTCTCAGTGTGCTTTTCTCTTTCCTTCTAGTTGTAGAATTTCCACTCAGCCCGCCTTCCTGTGGTTCTGGATGATGTCCGTTTTGTCTTTTAGTTGTATTTTTGAAGTGGTTGTGTGAGGCAGCAATTTCAGGTGTTTACCTATGCTGCCATCTTGGTTTCTCCTCTAGTTTCATTTTTGCATCCACCTGTCCAATTTTCCCAATACCATTTGTTAAAGAGATTGTTTTTACTCCCTTGTATGCTCTTGCCTCCTCTGTCAAATATTAATTGTCCATAAAGGTGTAGGTTGATTTCTGGGCTCTGTTTCTGTTCCATTGATCTATAGGCCTGTTCTTAAGCCAATACCAGGCAGTTTTGATTACAGTGGTTTTGTAGTATAGTTTGATATTCAGTATTGTGATCCCTCCAACTTCGTTCTTTCTCAAGATTGTTGAGGTTATTCGAGGTCTTTTTTTGGTTCCATATACATTTTTTGGAATACTTGTTCTAGATCTATGGAACATGTCCTTGATATTTTAATAGGAATTGCATTGAGTCTACAGATTGCCGTGGGTAGTACAGACATTTTTATGATGTTAATTCTTCCAGATC